AATCCTTTGTTCTGTGGGCACAATAGACTGTCCTTCAAAGTGTCTCCAAGCCCATTCATTCGCCTATACATCATTTGCCTTTGACCCCCAAACTGTCTGCATTCTGCCTTCTCCCTCCCCTGTAGAAAGGGGGGTAGGGGACCCTGCATCATGTTGCTCTGGCATAACTTCACTTTATGAATATTTTTGTGTGCATAACTAATTGGTGTTTTTTCTCCTGTTAAATAGACCAGCAGTTCATCCCTGGACACCTTCTGAAGGCACAGACAAACCTCTTCTCTTGCCCTCACACTTGGGCTTTAGACTGTCACAGTTGTTTAGAATTTAGGTGTCAGTTGGTGGCACTCCTTGGTCGATTCTCACATCGAAAGGAACTTTAATTTTGAAAGCCTTGATCCTAAAAGGAGCCATCTGACATAATCACATTGATGACTGGGTTTGGATTTTTATTCAAAGACGAATTTTACTTTTGATTTGTGAAATGCATGTTTTCCGTTTAATTATCAGTTGGAAAAAAAGAGAAAGGTAGTGAGTGAATAGGCAGGACATTTCTAATGAGCCTTTGTTATTTTCTTACTACATTTTAACATGAGGATTTATTGTTCCCTGAAATTATATTTGCCAGTTGACAGAGACTGTGGCAGCATTGTGGCAAATTTGAGAGCAAAGGAACTTCTAATCAGAGACGGACAGTCAGGATTTGGGTGAGTCTGGTCTAATCTGCTTAACTTTCTGAGAGAACATCTTGATTCTGTGCTTTAATTAACATCATAACCAGTCAATGAATCAACTTCACTCAGATGCCCATCCAGAAAGATGGATAAGAGAGGTACATCATTTCCTGAAACAGAATTCTTAGTCTGTCAGTCTGGAGAGCTTTGTAACAAAATACCAAGATTTGAACCATAAACCATTTAACATCCATTTTTCAATAGAGATACAAAAGTTTATCTGATAATTACATTTTTTTTTCTGTTTCCCAAAGTGGTACAAAGAAATCATTCACAATGTTTCCTTTCCAGAGATTGCTTTTTAAGGCAATGCACTCTGTAATACTCTAAGCTGTATTAGAAAGGTAATTTCCTGTGTTATGAGGAAATAAAGATGATATAGATAAAGTTTGCTGTCAACTTTGATTTTTTTATTTTTTATTTTTATTTTTTGCTGAGCATTTGCTTTAACACTGTGTTCCAGTAACAAGTTTTCATAGTTCTAGAAACTTGTGTACTTTATGTCATTTCTTTTATTATGAGGAATGGTATTAAAGATAATTAATTCTAAGCTGGGCGTGGTGGCACACATCTATAATTCCAGCACTTGGAAGTAGAGGCAAAGTGGTCAGATATTCAAGACCACTGTGGTGGTGTGAAGGAGAATGGCCCCATGGGCTCATACCTTTGAATACTTGGTTCCAAGTTGATGGATTGTTTAGGAAGGATTAAGGGGAATGGCTTTCTTGGAAGAGAAGTGTCACTGGGAGTGGCTTTGAGGTTTAAAAAATCTCACTCCAGGCCCAGTGTCTCTTGCTCTGCCTCCTCTCCTGCTGTGAGCCTGCCTGCTGCTGTGTTCACCACATAATGGTCATGGGCTCAACTTCTGAAACTGTAAATGAGCCTCCAGTTAAATGCTTTCTTTTATAAGTTGTTTTCGTCATGGTGTTTCTTCACAGCAATAGAATTGTAACAGAGACAGTTATCCTCATATAGATAGTTTAGTGTATTTGTAGCCAGTCTGGGCTACATGAGACCTTGTTTAAAAACAAAAAGGAAATCTGGGCTTAGTGGTAGTATACTGTAAATGGACATTATTCCATCCCGAATTCATTAAGAAATGCTCGGTCAACAGCTCAGACTTATTATTAACTAGCTCTTGATTCTAAATTCACCAATTTTTATTAATCTATGTATTGACACAGGGCCCATGGCTTTACTGGTCCTCTGGCATCTTGCTTCTTGGGTGTCTCTTTCAACTCTGTCCTTCTTCATCCTAGTCCTTAGTTTGATTGTCCGACCGAACTTTATCCTGCCTTGTTATAGGTCAATCAGCTTTATTATTAGCCAATGAGAGTAATACATATTTGCAGAGTAAAGAAGGATTATTCCACAGCAGTATACTCTTTCAATCCCAGCACTTGGGATGCAGAGGCAGGAGGATCTCTGTGAACCAGCCTGGTCTATATATATAGTGAGTGGCAGGACAGCCAGCACTACATAGAAAGATGTGACGGTCTCAAGAAAATAATATAAGCAAATGTAGCTGGATAGAAGGATGTATGATTTTACTTATTCATTCAAATCTGTATAGGAAGCATTATTCTCGGGATGCGCTTTTATATAGTGGTAATATAGTTATAGACAAGCAGACATGAATCACTTTTCTTCAGAATTTTACACTCCATGGTGAGGAAACAGGCAATAAAAAAACACACCAGCAAGTGTAAAATAGTACAACAACCAGTAGGAAATGGCGTTGAGAAAGAGCAAGAAGAAAAGTGGGTAGTGTTGGCGGGAGGGGATAGTGTTCTTATGAAGCTGTCGTGTTTGTGCTTTCTGGAGGATGGATGCAGCATGGAAACAGGGATCCTACCTGCTGCTGCTTGTCACCCTACCCTGCATATGTCATCACTATGGCATTTAACAAATGCTGAGCCAATGGGTGAGTCAACATGTTGTTGGGTGAATTCCTCCTTTAACCTATACACTCTTTCCTTACAACAGATTCTTTGTTTGGCACTAACAAACTTGTTCTTATTATTGAGTACTGGTCTCACTCCTCTAGAGTGTGACATGCACAAGAGTAAAACACAGTAAAGAGCTGTGAGATGAGTGAGTTGTACGATATGTTTTCCCCTTAAGAAACACAATAGCTACTAGCTGATCACAGGTGGATTTTGTTTGCTGGGCTAGGCAACTACTCCCTGTCAACAATAGATACTCTGACTCCTGCCACCGTAAATTCACAATTGTGCTTATGAGTAGTAAATGAAATGCTTTCAGAGTCAACCCTGAAGACAAATTCCTTGGCAAATCAACGTTTAAAATATATTAACTGTTTAATTATTCAAGTTTCAGTGGCACAGATTTCCTTTTAAGATTTTCAATGGGGGCTTGATCAAGGGAATTAAAATATTTATCAATTTTTAGAAAAGTGAGGAAAAAGGCATATAAATACAGATCAAATGAGGTTTTGCAGCAGACTAGATGATGAGTACCAGAGGACTCCACAGCCTGTAGGGTGCTTTGTACAAATGTGTTTTGTCACTGGTTTTTATTTCAAATGTGATCAAGGATGCAGGAGGGAGAAAAAGAGATTCTGTGGGTGGGGATGGGGGTAAGAGAAAGGGATGGGGGGATGATCAGAATACACTGTTTACATGTATCAAACTACCAAATAATAAATAAAAATATCTTCAAAATAGCAATGGATAATTTTAAAGCCATTTCCTGGCAGAAAATGTCTGGGTTGTGTGCAGTATTAAGAATTTGCAGTTATTTATAGAGAACCAGTTATCCCAACGCAATACATAACATTTACTGGACTCCAGTGTGAGTTTATATTCACAATTTTAATTTATCTCCTTGGTCCCCTTTTCTCCCTTTGCCTTACTGAGATTATAGAGAAGATGGCATGGCAAGATTGTTTTTTGTTTGTTTGTTTTGTTTTGGAGACAAGGTATCTCTGTGTAACAGTGTTGGATGTTCTGGAACTCACTTTGTAGACCATTGCTGGGATTAAAGGTGTGAGCCATCATGCCCAGCCAGGATTCTACACTTACAGTAGCAATTTTATAGTCTGTCAGAATCCTAGTCCAGTGTAATAAATTATAGAGAAAAATTTTATGATAAAATAAATAGGAAAAGGCTCTGTAGAAGTTTCCATCTTCTTTCATTATTAACAAGTAGTCTTTGAAAAAGTCTGCATTGAAATGATACCTTTAGGTAAGGTTCCCCACCCCTTCCTTCCAGGATGTATGTAAACCTGTCTGGCCTGTAAAATGGCCATACAGACCAGGCAGGTTTTGAACTCATGGAGATTCACCTCTGCCTCTGCCTCTTAAGTACTGGGATTAAAGGTATGCACCAATATGCCTGGACCAACCAAGTATCTTTTAAACCTATTTTTCTTCTAAACTTTAACAAAACCTTATGTTATTTATTAAGTTACAACACCATTTTATATTCCACAAAGAAAGCATGTACTGACGATGTTGCCTTAAGATCAAGATTCAGAAAATGTTATTTAGCGAAATGCAACTATCCTCTTTTTGTTGTTGTTGTTTTGAGACAAGGTTTCTCTGTGTAGCTTTGAAGCCTGTCCTCGATCTCACTGTGCAGACCAGGCTGGCCTCAAACAAATGCAACTATACTCTTTAGAAACAAAATAGTACGCCTTTAATCCCAGCACTCGGGAGGCAGAGGCAGGCGGATCTCTGTGAGTTCGAGGCCAGCCTGGGCTACCAAGTGAGATCCAGGAAAGGCGCAAAGCTACACAAGAGAAACCCTGTCTCGGAAAACCAAAAAAAAAAAAAAAAAAAAAAAAAAAAAAAAAAAAAAACAAAATAGTAAAATTAAGCTTTTTTTTTTTTTTTTACTCATTTTGCCCATTTTAGGCTGTGGTTTCAGAACTAGCTAGTGGATGTCTTCTGGAGGGCCATTATAAATATTATTTACCAATAACAGAACATTGTTTTCAATGCAGTAGCCACATGAGAAAAAAAAATCTCTTCAGCTGCAAAATCTTATTTATGTCCATGTTAGCATACCATCCCTTCAAATGACTATTTGCAGAGACTTTTGCCTGTTGCCAGGAATTCTGATTTACACCTGTAATTACAAATTCAAGGCCAGCCTGGGCAGCTAAAAACACTAAAAAGACCTGTACTTGTCAAAATGAATAATAAGATTGTATCTGGAAGTGTAATAATACAATTGGAAAAGCCACACTAATGCCATAAAATAAATCACTTTAATAATTAATATACATAAATAGTTCATGGTGAAAACAATAAAGTAAAATAAACTCTGTACAACAGCAAATTTACAAAATTTTAAAAATATATTCATTGTCTTACATTCAAATAATGGTGAAAAAAATAATGGCTGTACTTTTCCCAAGTGACTTTCCTTTTATATTTTATGAACATACATAATATTACAGTAATTGATGACATTACAGTGCTTAGTCATTTTAAAGAACTGAAATTAAATTCTTACTTAGAAACTAAAAATAAAATAATTAAAATCATCTGCATAACTTTTTTGAAAAATAAATTAGTCACTTTATATTGAAATTATTGCTCTATTAAAGTGTTTGGGATGTAGTTACATTCATTTCTGGCAATGCTTGGACATTATCTACTATTCCTTTAAGCAAGATGAGATGAGGTGTAAGCTGTTCACCTGAGAGGCAGCTTTTTCTCAGAGAAGAGACAAAGACAAAACAGAATTAGTTTAAAAGTCCAAGTTGCATATGATACAGATAAAAAAAAATTTTTATTTAGAAATATCGCAATTAGGCCTTTGAGGTAACACAATCTTTGTATCAAAAGTCATTTTTAAACATGTTACCCTGTGATTTCCATCAAGTTAGTGCTCGCTTCCACTGCAGGTCACAGTCCCTATGGCAATTCAAAGCGTTCTGTTTTGTCAACCGACTCATCATTTACAGGCTAGAGAGAAATAAATACCCCCCCCCTCCCTGTGTGACCCGCAGAAGCATCGCCTTTGGCACGCTGGAGGGTAGTTTTGTCCACCTGGCAGTCAGGTGCCCGGAGCCTTTGGCAGAGAGCAAAGTGAAAACAAGCCCGAGGCGGCCGGTAGTGGTATTTCCGAGGCAATTTCTCTGAATTACCTAGAAACCCGGCGACTTTAGCTTAACCAAGTCAGAAAGCCTTGGCTTTAGCCAGCGGTCACACTTGGGTGGCATTTTGTTGAAGAGTGAGCTGTCAGCTGTTTTCTCCTCCTGGTCTTACTTTTCTTTTGCCTTTTCCCAGCCTTAGTCTTGTTTGCCTTCTTTTTCTTGTTTTCCTCTTTATACCACGGGCCCCAGACTCCTCCATTGAGACGCGGGTTGCTTCTGGGATCCTTTGGGGGGTACCTGACGGGTACTGCCGTCTTGTTGAACTGCGAGAGTCTCCGCAGCAGCTTCTTCACGATGCCAGGATACCGGCTGGATAGGTCCACCCTCTCGTATGGATCAGCCGTGATGTTGAAAAGCCAGATGCTTTTGCCAGTCGACAAGGTAATCCTCTCGTTGTGCCATCGGTTTGGGCCCAGATTGCTGAAAGCCTGAGGGGGAACCCAGTCACTGTAGCCAGGGTTCCCCGTGAGCAGCTTCCAGTGCTGCACCCGGATGGCTGACTGGATTGCAGTGTTCCAGATTCCGTAGCCGGCTGCCCAGGAGCCATTTTTCGCCTTGGTGTAAATGGGGTCGATGTTGTGCAAAATATCCACTCGGGGTGAACGAAGACCTTCACTTATGGTCTCCCAGATATCGTATCCATCTAGCTGAATGTCTTCATCAATCTGCCCTTCAGCCAGTGAAATCAGGGTCGGGTACCAATCTGTGATGTGCACAAGTTCCTTACACACCGTTCCTTTGTTTTTCAGAAGCGGGCTGTGCACAAAACCAACCGCCCGGATGCCCCCTTCCCAATATGTTCCTTTGCTGCCTCTGAGAGGCCAGTTACTTCCTCCTGCTGTGGGCTGTCCACCATTATCTGAGGAGTATATGATAATACTATTGTTATAGAAACCATACCTCTTTAGAGCTAGGGTCACATTGTGGATTGCTTCATCCAAGCAGGAGAGCATGGCTGCATACCTCCTCCTGTTTATGTTGATAATGGATCGGTAGTGTTCAAAATACCTGCCAGGGGCTTGCAGTGGGGAGTGGACAGCTTGGTAAGCGACATATAAGAATATAGGTTTCATGGGGTCATGGGAAGCTAAGATTTGTTGCACTCTCTGAGTATACATCTGTGTTGAATATATGCCATTGTCATAGTCCCAAGCAGCATTATCATTTTCATATAAGTCATAGCCACACATCCCAGGACTGTCACATTTGTAGTGTGTATAGTAATCTCCACTTCCCAGAAGTGAGCCAAAGAAGGTATCGAATCCTCTCTTGGTGGGCATGCATTCTTTCCTGTAAAATCCCAAGTGCCATTTCCCAACCATATGAGTTGAATAGCCGACCTCCTTCAGCTTCTGAGGTAGGGTAGCATTGTCTAGAGGTAGACAGTTGGGTTGGGTGGGTCTGATGATAGAATGCTGGAGTCCGGTGTGGATCTGGTACCTTCGAGGCAAGAGGAAACATCGGGTCAAGGCAGAATAAAAGGGACATTCTCCACACAGGTGATTCTAAAGTCAAATAAAGTTTCTATGAAGGTCAACTCAACCTCAAAATGGGTAGGATCATTTCAGCAGCTCTACTCTGGTTCCAAAATTTTAATTTTGCTTCACGTTAACAGTGGAAGTGCATGTTCAGTACTTTGGAAACTAAGATTTTCACCCCTTATCTCAGTCTTTGTAAAGTCCTTACAACAGAATTGATGACAATAAAGTTTAGTCTTTTAATTACATGACAGAGTGCTACAAGATAGAGAGGGAGGCACAGAACCAGAATATTATATCTCCCAGTAGCTTCTGAGAGTGTATGTTTCAAACTAACTCTTATGGTCTAGAACCCAGGCAGAATCAGGCAAAAGTCTCCGGGCAGCCCATGGAACTGTTTTTCACACTTCAGCCTGATCTGTGGGATCTCTGACAAAGGAAGTGGCTTTGGCTGTGGAACAAACCTCAGTGTTTGTAGCCAGAGCTGGAGACAGTTCTTCCGGTTCCCCAGGAAGTAAGTGCTCTCCTGTTTGCCAGTGTCTCTCTGTCCCCATCCATAAATCACTTTGAGTGAAATCTAACAGAGCAAGGGAAACTTTCTGTACTTTATTAAAGTGATAAGGAGCTAGTTTCTAGCATTTTCCCAAGAGATTTCCCCTGAGAATCGGGTACTATCATGCTAAACGTGAGGCTCATGTGAATCCACTTAGACCTGTTAATTCATGATATGTTAAAAAGGAATCGACTGAAGTTATTGCATATGCTCAAAATAACTTTCAAAATAGAATGAAAACACAAAGGCTATAAAACACATTTAGGGTAAATGTGAAGGTATTCTTGGAGTCAAATAAATTGCAAAGAGGAAAACTAAGACAGAAAACCCAAACCTGGCCTGGGGAGATAGCTCAGTAGGTAAAATGATGACCTGTAGAGCCTCAGAAGCCACGTAGGAAAAGCTGAGCATGGTGACTTGTGTCTGTAACCCCTGCACTGGTGGGGACAGCAGATCCCTGGAGCTAGCTGGCCAGAAGTCTAGCTGAATCACTGAGCTCCACAAATATATACACATATAGAACTCACAGAACACACACACACACACACACACACACACACACACACACACACACATACACACACACACACACACACACACACACACACCAAAAAGCCTCCCAAACTGAAAACTTCTGTTCATAGTGATTTTTTTTTATAAGGGCAACATGTAATTTGTACTTTGGGTGAATAGTTTAATTCATGTTCAAATGCTTAGCAGGCAATGCAACGAAAGTGTGAATTCTTGAGTGTTAATTGTACACGAATGCTGATGAGTTAGCTGTGGTGACCACTTCTCACTCTGCAAAGCTGCATTTGCATCCACTCTTTCCTCCAGCCATCATTAGCAGTTAGCATTTCACAGCAATCACGGTCACGGGAGCTTAAAATAGATACACTCATAAAGACATTTCACAAGTGTTGCTAAACACCCAACCCAGAAGGTGCCATTCATCACTGTTCTTGGTAATTTTGGTCTAGTTTAGGATCTCTAACAATCACTCATCAGATCACTAATTTTGTACATGGACAATTGAGAAGTGACTGCCAACATAAACTTGAAAAAAAATTGAAGGGGGAGAAGTCTGTATTTGTAAAACTTTTAGCAACAATTCATGGGGATACATTATTAATTAAACAATTATCATGCATAGACCTTGTCCTTGACCTGACTACCTATTTGATTCCTCAAAAGACTTAAAAATTTAAGCCTTTGTAATTAAATTGCTTATTTCTCTCCTAGTGGTAGAGGCAAAAGGGAATGATGCTTATGAAAATATAAGAAATGTTCCGGGTGGGGGGAGGAGAGGGAAGGACAAAGCGAGGAGAGAAGAGGAGAGGGGAAGAGACAAAACCGCTTTCAGAAGATGGTGTGGTGTTGGCAGATAAATGGGAGTCCAGGCTCACTAGCGAACTAAGAGGTTTCTGCCTCTCCAGAAAGCAGAATGGTTTCCACGTTGGGAAATTTAAAGCCAATAACACAAAGCTTGCCCAACAGCTCATAGCTAGTGAGAGATTTTTCAGGTTAACTTCTCCATTGGTAGCTCTGAGCTTCAGATTGATGCAAAGAGTTTGGAGCAGAATGTGGGGCACTGGCAGGTGCTGGACTCTTGACACACCTGAGTTTGGATTATCTGTGAGATTGGGGGCAGACTTTAACCTTCTGATCTTCAGTTTTCTCATCAGAAAGATTGGGTGATGATGTATGTTGGGTGTTGTAGGCCCTAGAAAGGAACATGGAATCTAGGGTGTGGAGAGGAGTTAGTAAATGGTAGCTGTTACTGTTACCACCCGAAAGTGTAGAGTGGTGTGTTAAGACATATTTGTATAAAGTTTTATAGATTGTAGATTTTCCTTCATATGGACAATTGAACTTAATCCTCCTTAATGCAGTGATGACAAGCCATATTCTGTATCTTCATTTCATGGCTAGGAAAGCAGAGACGTAGAGAGTTGTGGTATTTTTATGAACCACCTTAACTGCCCACCAGGCTGTGATGCTGATTTTGGAGTAGTATGACTAAGTCTGTTACTCACTCAGCTTTCAAACATTTAGTTACCATGAGTACTTTCTGAAAACATCCAGGAGCAGCAGTCAAAAGTGAAAGATTTGCAAATCAGATACTGAGGCTTATATCTATCACAAAAATATTTGAGAATTTTTTGAAGCAGATAAAATAATGAGCATTTTTTTTGGCAGAACTCATTTGGGCAAAGACAAGAAGAAAGTCCTGCCTTGATAGCATCCTCTACTTTCCTTCCCACCCACACATGTGTCTTCTTCCCTTTCTAAAGCTTTGCTGTTTCCTAGGATGTCATAATCAGGATACTGCTAACAGTGGAGGCAACTTGAAGGTACAAATTCTCCTGCGCTGCGATCAGGTGGAGACAGAAGCAATGCCTGCCAACTATATGGAAGCAAGCTGCTGCTTCTCTTTGTTCCTTGTCTGATCAAAAATGTTGGTAGATTGTTTTAAGTCAGGCAAGGAAGGGATGGAATCTGAGGTGAGCTTGCTTGAGTATTTGCGGGTGAACTTGGCTTTCACTTGACAACAGCAACTATCCGGAAGACAAGCTGGATAATTTCAAAATATACCATCAAATTCTGAGTGAATGAAAAGTAGTTTCTTTCTTCCTTTGATCTCAACTCATTGAGTGATGAGCCTAAAAGACACCCTGTTCACCAAGTGATCAAAGTTAATGTGATTAATTATGTGACAAACTGGAACTGTGTGGGATGATACAGAACTGGAGGAAGCTCTGGGAAGAAAAAAGCATAGTCTCTAAGTCATTACAACCAAAGATATGGGACATGAACTTAATGCAAGATCATGTAGTTCAAAGAAGGATCCCAAAGGAGTGCTTCTGGTTTGAAAGGAATTAAGGGACGATGATGATCAGATGAAATATGTGATCCTGAAATACAGTGGGCATAATCGGGGAGCTGGAAGAGCTAAAACGAGTCTCAGGAGTAGTTGAGAAGAACTATGTTGATTTCTGAATTTGATGGATGTTTGTGTCTAATAACAAAGAAAAATCCTCATTTCTAGGAAAGACAGAGTGTGATAAAGGGGAGGTTGGCTGTAGGAAATACATAGTAAAGTATGAGGGATGGTGAATCCCCTGCTGGCAAGTGACTTTTAATTTGGTTCAAGGAAAAACATTTCTGGCTATCCCTGCATTTTTTCTACAATTATGAGATGAATTAAAGTATAATAAAATTATGCAAAAATAATTATGATAAATGAAAAATATTTCTGTTAAAATTTCAATTAGTTTAATGACTATTAATGAATCCAAGGAATTTGATCCCTTTAACTATAAATTCAATAAATAAAAAGAAAAAATGTAATAATGAAAAAGAAAAATAAGATTTAAAATGCTAATAAGAAAATACATTACATTAACACAGCATGTAAATTCTGAGAAATAATATTCCACCCTGTGGAATTTATGTTAATCAGAAAATAAAGAGAAATCTGTTCACTATTGAAGCATGTGCCTCAATTTATATAAATGCGTATTCATATATTATTATAAAACAAAACCTAAATAAAAGTTTAAGATGAGAAAAAAACTGAGAAATGGAAGGAGACACCATAAGATGGGAAGATCTCCCATGCTCATGAATCAGTAGGATTAATATTGTGAAGTTGCTATCCTGTCAGAAGCAACCTACAGATCCAATGAGTTTTCCATCAAAAATCCAACACACTTCTTCACAGAAATTGAAAAAAAAAATTCAATTTCATATGGAAATACAAAAACGCAGAATAGCTTAAACATCCTGAATAGTAAAATAACACTGGAAGTCTCACCCCCCCAGATTTCAACTTGTATTGCAGAGTTATGGTGGTAAGAACAGTGTGGTATTGTCATAAAACAGACACATTGATCAATGGAATCAAAGTCCCTGATATAAGTCATACATACTTATGGATTCCTGAGTTTTTTAATATAAAAAAGCCATAAATACACAGTGGAAAAAGACAGAATATTCATAAATGGTGCTGTCACACTGGATGGCCCAATGTAGAAGAATCCAAGTAGATGCATGTTTATCACCCTGTGCAGAACTCAACTCCAAATGTATCAAAGACCTCAACATAAGGCCAGGTACACTGGATCTGATAGAAGAGAAAGTGGGGAATAGTCTTGAGCTCATTGGCTCAGGAAAAGACTTTCTTAACAGACCATCATTAGCACAGGCACTAAGAACAACAATTAATACACGATATTCTATGCTCACTGTCATATGCAGATGTTAGCTTTTAAATCTTGGATGTGTGTGCTGCAACCTGTACAACCACAGAAGATAGGTACTGAATAAGGGAACAATGGGAAAAGAGGATCTCCCAAAGAAGGAGAAAAAGAATTTAGTGTTATGGAGAGATAAAGAGGAAACTAGGA